TAGTTTTGAAATCATAAACTGTGAAGGGGGGGGGGGGGGCATTGATGATATGTACATGCATTTCAAATGTATAAAATTTGTATTTAAAATATATTTTGTGAACTATCTTACATGAGACTTTTAGTGTCATTTTCTTTAATTAGGCCCTTGAAGATTGGTTGTTTCTTTGCTTTTAATCCTTTTGTTGGGACAACATTTGAACATTTCCCCATTGCTCCAAATTTAGACGTACTACACATCATTAAGCAGTGGGATCTCTTTTGAGACAGCATCTTCTGCAACACTGGCCAAAAGTTTTTATTGTTCCTTTTGAAGGACCGTTTTCAACGTTCCTCGTTGGTATTTAAACCTGCGACTTAAAATTATATACAGCCACTTACGTCTTAACTCCAAAGCAATATGCTCTAGAACCACTCCAAATCTAATGGCCCTCAAAAAAGTACAATGACTGTCTATTAGCACTGGAGGGTGATTAAAGGTTTGAAAAATATACTCGGATGTCCAGTCTTTGCGTATTTGAGAATCTTGTCTTTTTTTATTCGATTTATATAAATGTACTCTGGCGTGAGATATTTCAAAAGTTCATCTAAATTACAGTTGTGAATAAATTAATCATGAAGTTTGCTTTTAAACGGCATATGTGTTATACTCAGCATTTTGTTCACAAATCACTTTCTTTTGTACTTTTCTTATCTAAAAATGTAATTTTCCATTAAATTTTAGAATATATTTTCAAAGCTGCTGTCAGAAAATAAAATTGTTTACCTACCTACCGACCCAACTTGAGAATTTAGGGTCGGGTTAGGGGAAACAAAGATATTTTTAATTCCGGCCTTGTATTTACTTTTAATATCTATCTAATTCTATCTAAATATACCTGTGGTTCCTTTCTTCTTCCAAACACATCCTTTAACTACTATCACCCTTATTGAACTTTTCAACCACGAATGCTCATCAAACTTAAAAAAAAAAAAATTGTTATCATCCAATCATCAGAATAAGACCTGAAAACAAGATGTGTTTGTGAAACACTATGCACTTGGCAATAACAAAGTTCAAAATGATATTTCAGCATATAGGTCACAGTCAAGGTCAAAAGGTCATTGACCTTGGTGCCATTTGAAAGAACATGACAAGTTGAGTATGCGTTACAAATATGCAGTCTTTATCTCTCACTGTTCAAAAGTAATAGCAAAAGTTAAAGTTGACAACAGACAGAGAGAAACAAGAGGCCCAAGGGCCTTGAATCGCTCTTCAAATAAATTGTACAACCTATCACTTGTATTTGAAGCCTCTAATACTAAGTATCCTAAGACCCAAGTTGCATTAACTGACAAAGTTTGATGATTCTTAGCCAATTAGGACTGAAGATATTTTAATAAAGCTATAAAAAAAACCATGAGTAGGTCAAGGTGACCTACTTTAAGATTGAAGTTTTCTGAGGACTCAAGATGCATAAATAGACAATCTAAGTTTGAAGATTCTAAGTCAATAAGTATTTGAGATATTCAAAAGTTGGTTACCTTGACCTACTTTTTGGTCTACATTCTTGGAAAACCAAAAATGCATCAATTAACTGACAAAGTTTGATTATTCTAGGCCAATAAGTACCGGAGATACTTAAATATAGCCATAAAATGTCAAAAGTAGGTATAATTACCTACTTTTTAGTAAACATATTTCAGAGCCCAAGATGCATCTGCTGACCAAGTTTGATAGTTCTAAGCCAGTAAGTACCGGAGATATTCAAAAGTACTCACCATGACCTACTTATCGGCCGACATTATCTGAAAACCTAAGAGGCATCAAATAACAAAGTTTGATGATTCTAAACCGATAAGTACAAGATATGCTTAAATATAGCCATAAAATGTCAAAAGTAGGTCACCGTAACCTACTTTTTAGTCGTCACTCTTCAAAAACCCAAGATGCATCAACTGACAAAGTTTGATGATTCTAAGCCAATAAGTACTGGAGACACTTTAATATTGCCATAAAATGTCAAAAGTAGGTCACAATATCCTCCTTTTTGATAGGCACTCTCCAACAACCCAAAATGCATCAACTAACAAAATTTGATGATTCTAGCCAATAAATACTTAAAATACCTAAATATAGCCATGAAATGTCGAAAGTAGGTCACCCTGACCTACTTTTTGGTCGTCACTCTCCGAAAACCCAAGATGCATCAACTCACAAAGTTTGATGATTCTAAGCCAATAAATACTAAAGATACTTAAATATAGCCATAAAATGTCAAAAGTAGGTCACCGTGACCTACATTTTGGTTGACATTTTTTCAGGGTCCCAAGATGCATCCGCTGATTAAGTTTGATAATCGTAGGTCTGAAGGTAATCAAAATATGCCTATAAAACAATTCGAAAACAAAGCCTGCAAAATTGTACAAGTAGGTCACAGTGACATACTTTTTCTTAAATATGTTTTAAGGTCCCAAGATGAAGCATCTTACAAGATTTGATGATTCTAACCCTCTCTGTGTCTGAAATAATGGGATTAAATGTTTTAATCAGGGTAAGTCATAAAGTTCAAAAAGATATGTTTGTGAAACACTATGTGCCCGGCGGCAAGAAAGTTCAAAAAATCTATTTTTAGCATATAGGTCACAGTCAAGGTCACAAGGTCATTGACCATGGGGTCAATTCCAAGACTTTTATTAGTGGAGTATGCATACCCCAAATTTCATTTCAGTATATGCAACGGTTGCAAGGAAAATGAACGGAAACTTAGAATGGACCGACAGACCGACGGACAGCAGCAAAGCATAAAAAAACAGGTCTTGATCAATTATGACATTAATAATTTTAAATCGCTTACATCTTTCTTCTTGCTAGAAGCCAGGCTAAGGATTACCTCCCCTGTCTCATCTATAAGGGTGATCTCTTTTCTATACAGACCCTGAGACGTGCTACTACCCCAAAAAATCGTGTGACTTTCGTGCGCTTTCCGTTTCGTGCAAACCGTGTAGCGTTTCGTGTAAAACGTGCAGCGTTTCGTGCAAACCGTGTAGCGTTTCGTGTAAACCGTGCAGCGTTTCGTGTAAGCTCCAAAGCGTTTCGTGCAAACCGTGTAGCGAGCGTGCGAAAAGCGTGTGAGAAACGTGCGACTTTCGTGTAAGAACCGTGTGAGAAACGTGCGACTTTCGTGCAAGAATCGTGTAAGATTCATTCGGAAGTCATTTCATTTTAGATATGGCTATCGATGGGTCAGGATGTAAAATTCTATTAGTATTTTATTGAATTAGTTATGCTTGTGATATTATAGGAGTAAAAAAAAAACAAAATGAAATCACACGGTAATGTATAATTTATATTTGTTTGATTTCTTTTCCTTCTATAGAAAATGTGTTCAAATTAATCAACTATTTACAACAATTTTAAGGGCATTGAATTCAATATACTATCAACGCGATCATGGCTTCTTACATATTTTTTCTCAAAGAAAGAAAGAAATACCGGTATTATTTTTTTTTTTAATTTAAAGCAAAAATATATCAGGACTCCGCTCTTGTCTTTACATTTGAAACGGTGTGTCATTTAATACTTTTTAATACATAAAACTTGTTGCTCATTATTGTCAAATAAATGAATTTTATAATTTAATTCACATGCACTGACGACCACATCTTTCTAAACGAAAGGGGGGGGGGGTTAAATTAAATTACTAGTACAGTCTTTCATTTTTGTTGTTGTAACTTTCAATCTAATGTTAGTTTAAGCAAATGCTTAATTTTCTATTCTTTTTTAAAATCCTTTGTTAAATGTGTGCGCAGAAACTCCCCTTAAAAATGTATTGGAATCTTCTTTCCGCCTTTCAACTGTGATCAAGGTCATTTACAACAGCGGTCACGGGCTCCGAGTGCGTGGCAACTGAAAACCTGTTTTGCTATATGTACATGTTGAGTTCACGGCTTAATGACACCTGAAAATTACGACTGGATTTTTTTTTTAAATGAAATGGTTCTATAAATATTTAATGGGTACAACTTATAAATCAGCCGATTTCATCTTTTATTTGTAAATCCGAATTTCTAGCCGTAAACAGCAAAATAAACAGAACTGATTTGGTTGTCTTTTCATGAATATCATGTAAGAAAAGCTTAGGAGTAAATCATGAATAATTGTATATTATTTGTTTTATAAATCACGTACTTTTTGTTTCATCTAAGATATTTCAGTTTTCTTGTAATATACCTGAATGCCGGTGTAAAGATCGATCTATATTGTATGTACAATGTATAGTCAAATGCCGAGACTATTAATAGTTGTACACATATATACATACGTTTAGTCCTGTTTTGAAATGAAGGATTTTGCAGTATGATGGGTATACTGATGTTATTTGATAAACTTCATGTAAAAAGAGAAAGAGAAAAGAATAGAATAATAGAGCACATTATCCCCCCCCTTTACCGGTTTCCCTTCTATTGATAATGCTTGCGTAAAATAAAAAAAAATCTTTAAAAATTTATAAATAATCGTTAGTAGAGTATATAGGCAGATATTATTACTAATTTAAAATCAAAATCACGAAAAATAATCCGCCTACGGAAATCAAACACAATATATTCAATATTATTAAAAATCAATGAGTTTATATTCCTGCGGTAAGAAATCGAATTTGTGTTTAATTTATTAAATTATACTCGTAAAAATATTAAATAAAGAAATGAATGACTAATACCTGTATATAAAAATTGTATTTTATTAAACAGTCATTCATGATATCGGCATTTCGTTTTTAAACAGTTGGATAAATAAATAAATAAATTCGAACTGACAATTATTTATCATTTACTTACAACTGTCAGAGTATTAAATATTTCTATCGGTTTATATAATACAAGTGTACTGAAATTTAATTTAAAACAGCTGCTTAAAGTGGCTTTGTGAAAGATTTGCATTGAATTAATGATAAAACGGTAATAATTCCCGAGATATTCCGAGTAGAAAAATCCAAACCGAGGCCAAAATGTGCGAGAATCGTGCACAAAGCGTGTGAGAAACGTGTACAAAGCGTTTCGTGCAGCCTTTCGTGTAAACCGTGCAGCCTTTCGTGCAAAGCGTTTCGTGTAAACCGTGTAGCGTTTCGTGCAAACCGTGTAGCGTTTCGTGTAAACCGTGCAGCGTTTCGTGCAAACCGTGTAGCGTTCGTGTACCGTTCGTGCAGCGAGCGTGTGGGGTAGTAGCACGTCTCAGGGTCTGTAAAATCTCTTCATCATCCCATTTTGCTTTGGCTCTAGTTTTTTAGTCTTTTTCAAGATTGCCAATATATCTGGAAGATTTTGAAAACCAGTTTAAAATTTTTTGTATATTTACAAGCAAATTCAAATTTATGAGCCCCCCCCCCCTTCAGATGCATTTAAAGGTACATAGACACAAGATTGCCACTTTTCCTAAGTGTTAAAAATTAAATCAATATTTGTGACAGTGCAAGTATGTGTCAATCAACAAAATCCAAAAACTTAAAGTCTCAATATCTTTTAGATGAAATAAGATTTTTAATTGATTTCATTTTCGTGTGAAATGCTATTACAATATATAAGTTGTGATATTCTACAGAACTGTTACAATGTAACTTCAAATCTGTGTCTATGCACCTTTAAAACCTCACCAAATTTCTGGGCATTGGATAAATTCTGAGAGGCCTGCTGAACCTCCATCAGACGTGTGGGTTTCAGATTCACACCTCTATTTCTGCTTGTACCACTGCTAGTCCCTGCTTTACTGTCTTTCTTTTCACAACTTTGGACAGTTTTTGTATCAAGACAAATGATTTTTCCATTTGATGCATCTTGAAATTCGGTGCCTTCTTCAAAGTGAAGCTCATATCCATGTCCCACATTGTTTGTTTTGTAGACATTCTTAATTTTGGCACCTGTTATATAATATTCCTGTCAAAAAAAATTTGATCTTAGATCTTCATCGATGATCAAATGCTTAAGTACCAGTTATAGTTAGATTATAATCTAAGTAAATAGAAATGCACATTTTCTTTCCATAGAAGCTAAATAAACATGATAAGGCCAAATAAATAATAGTCTTGTTTCCTGCTACCAGTCTGAAAAAAAGGGTAGCCAAAGTAGGTAGGGAAACTATTTTATTTTTCTTTTTTATTTTACAATGTTTTATGTTTTTTGTTTCTTTGGATAATATGTTCTAATACAAGATCAAATTATAAATGCCATATTTCAATTTTGCCTTTTAAAATTATTTCATGTCTTTTGATGCACAACTCAAGTGGTATTTTATGAAAGTCCTTATTCAAAACACTGAATTTTATGAAACACAACTTCAATATACATTTTTTCAGTTTTGGAACATGAAATTCCAAAAATTAATGATTTTCTTCCCCCAAACTAAAAATAAAGTGCCAAGCCACAGCATGATACGCCTGTCAAAAAATTACAATTATCTTAAACGATCAAAAGTGCAAGAAAATCATGACAACCTTGATTTTAGATTTCCATGATTTTTGAACTCCTTAAAAATTTGTTTATCCATCTCCTTTGGTGTAAGCATTAATTATAACATATACATGTATTGCATCATTCATAGATTTCTATACTGGTTGTGTTAGACCTTGCAAAATGCCTATCATATTAAACATTATCAAATTAGGCTTAACAACTTAATTTATACCTAATTAATTTTGAAAATTAAAGGCTGGCCATCAAATATAAAATGACCAACAGATCTTCTGTCTAATTCCCAAAGGATACACTGTCAGTTAAAGGTCATACGAAACAATGTCCTGCGTATTTTGGGTTATATACGGAAATGAGTTCATCTGAGCAACATTAATCAGACTGAAATAACATTTTGCATTTTTTACGCAAGTTGAAGGCAGCAGAGTCGACCAAAGATACTTTACTGCGAAGATGAACTTCAACTAGCGCGGCTTATCTCCCTTTGCTTATGACGTCAATAAGACCCACTCGCTACATTCAGTACTAATATTTATATAGCCGATCGTGTCTTATGCAGCGTAATTTTTAAGAAATAGCATTGTCTTTACTAAAATTTTGCATAAATATAGGATTTTCAAAACAGATATTGTTCGTCTTTTAACATCCTGTATGTTTGCAAGATTTAAGCATGTTTTTTCCGTGTAATTAATTGTCATCCTTCTACATTCTAATATAATGAGCATGAGGGGGGGAAAGATGGCCAAAGAAAGCAGAACTTATGTGCTCGAGTTATATATAAATATAGAGGCTGTCAAATATCATTACAGTTGAATAAATTTCTAACACAAAAATATGATTTATTAAATTCCCAATATTTTTTTTTAAAGAACGATTAAAATATTAGCACTGTCGATTATCGATCGGTAGCACACGCTGTATAAGTAAATTTGGATTCGATTGACAGAGGTGTGAGAAAGCTAAACTACACCATAGGATAAATGATGTAATTTATTAACTGTTAATGCAAATAAAATTACACATATTCTATGATATCTCTACCTCGCACTCCCGACTCTCAGTTATTCCATACTCTTTCCTTTTCTCATTGACTCTTTCTCATCCCGTATTTTTTTTTTTACCAAAGTTGGTACATTTACACATGACACTGTACATGTACTATGTGCCTTTTCAAATATCGTAATAGTTTAAAAAAAAAATTAGCCTCGGACTTTAAACGCAATTCTATCTTTATATGTAATCCTACGTTTCTGTATGTATTTACTGATACAAATTTTCTAAAGTTGTATTAGTTTTTTTTAACATAGATTAAGTCCTGTGATGAAGAATCTTTAACTGTAAAAGATATTTGATTCTTAAAATTGCTTAGGTTCAGTCTCGCAAACAATGTGCATTGGGGGCATTGGTTCTTTTCAATGGATCATCGTATGCACGCATATGAGTATTTCAAAACTGCAGTTACTCAATCAAACTGGTAAATAGAAGTATCAGTACCGTAACATCACAGTACATGTATATTCAGGTGCATACTTGTAATGCTTGTAGGTTTTTAAAATCACGTTTCTTGTGACAGAAAAAATACGATGATATCATAAACTTCCTTTTTCTCTATATCATGAGTTCTTGTGTTTCAGATTGCAGAAGTATGCATTCAAATACACCGATGTATTATAGATCAATGTTTATCATAAACTTCAATATCCCTGTATTTATTTAGGGAAAGGGGAGGGGGTACATCATGTATCATATACGTATAAAAAAAGAAAGCAAGGAGATTGTTGTCTTTAAGGTATTGATTTAAAATAATTAATCTTGGTTGGAGTGAAAAATCATTATTTCATCAGGGTTTTCACCAGGATCGTCTTACTATTAATAGCTCTCGTTTTCAGTTGCTGTTGCCAATTAATCATAGTTTAAATAGAGTAAACTGTTCTTTAGAATCAGATAGCTCATCTAAAAACATAATCACATTTATATCCACAAAGAAGACTAAAATGAACTTAATAAAGTACAGTAAAATTACACTAGATCTTACGAGTTGTTTACATCAATGGGTCGTTATGACGTCATGCAAACACAAAATCAAGAACAATAAGCGGGTAACAAATTTATCAAGTGGGCAAGTTTAGGCCTTCATTTTTCCGTTAAGCAAAAGCAAAAAAAATTTACCAAACGTAATTTAACATTCTTTCATACCAATCTATATGTTTAAAAAGTAAATCCTAGTGTTATGAACTGTTTCGTATGAACTTTAAGATAATGCTCTGAAGAAATAATTGAGACAGCTATAGCCTTGCTACATTGAACACATTAAATTAACTTTTAACTGGATGCTTGTCTACTAATTACTCCCAAGAGATTATTGGATCTGCACTATCTTCCATAAAGCTTTTTTAAAACATATAAAACCTCAATGATTTAAATTACATTTAATGGCAGACAGATTTTAATATGCAATTCATATGGACATGCTGATTCCACCCCACCCCCATAAAATTAGTTTTTTAAAGTTCATAATAGTATGTAAGATCAAAACAGTTTATTATGCAAAATCAAATTATTTTTATTTACTTCTCATCAAATTCATTTTAAAACTTATGCTAGCCAACAAGAGCCATTTTAATCCAACAGGATTACCCATTTGGTCTAATCAGGGCTTGACATTAACGCTTGTCCAGTACCAATGAAAAAAAATTTCGGACAAGTGAATATTGCTGGGCACTTGTCCGATTGGACAAGTGCATTTTAATGTAAAGGGGTCTCAAAATAATGAAAAGAACGACTGTTGAAAGCTAAATCGGTAATTTCTTGAAACTTGAAAATCCAAACTTCGATCCCGATACGTATCGCTATATTCATATTGAGTTCACATTCGATCGGGATCGAAATTCATTAATTGCATACTTACTGAAAAGTCATGGAGGATACGAAATGTTAATATTGACAGTTTATGTTATTGTCTGGACAGAAAGCCTAAATTAAATATCTTTTTATGTTTCTGTTGTATTTATCAATAACATCAAGAATCAATCAAGCGCATGACATGTGTAAATAAATGGACTTAATTTTGATTTTCAAGTTGAAACTGTTGAACTTTATAGAAAATTTTTGGACAAGTGAAGTTGAAATTTGGACAAGTAAATGTCTTGGTAACTTGTCCGAATGGACAAGTTGGAAAAAAAGTTAATGTCAAGCCCTGCTAATACTCAAGGGATATAGATAGCACCGATGCTCTTCCTCACACTAAACTCATTAATTTCTCTCTCTAATTTGACATGCATTTTTCTGTTATCAAAATTCTACTTGACCAGTGCTTGTCTAATGATAATTAAACTCATAGGAGTGGTGGAATTTCTTTATCATACATTACATTTGATATAGATTGCTGTCAAGTATATGCTAAAAAAATAAGTATTTTTCTTGATTTAACATTTTTCTAATAAGGATAGTGCAATACTTTTACATTTTTTAAAGTGTGTAAATGAAGAGAAAAAAAGACATTTTTTTTTAAAATTTCACTTAAATTAAAGGTCACAGTGACCTTGAAATAGGTCGCGACACACCCTCTACTTAAGATGCATAAAGTGGCCAAGTTTGATGATTCTACCTCTACTTAAGATGCATGAAGTGGCCAAGTTTGATGATTCTATTAAAGTCTAATAGTTTTCAAGTTATGGACCGGTCAGGATTTTTCCATATTTGGCTATAGCTTTTTAATGATAGGTCAGAGCGACCTACTTTTTGTGCGCAACACACCTTTTACCCAAGATGTATCAGCTGACAAAGTTTGATAACTCTAGGCCTTATAGTATTCAAGTTATGAGCCGGACATTAGAAAAGCTAACAGAAGGATGGACGGACAGCTATACAGTTGAGAGGTACATTGTGCATTTTACGGAAGGTGTGGGGTTATAATTTTGCTTTGTGGGGTTATTAATAGTACAGTGGTGACATGAGAGGTTTCATTAGGAATTCAAACAAATGGTATATTGTGGGGTTAAAGGTCTATATTTGTGGGGTTAAAGATCTATATTTGTGGGGTTAAAGATCTATATTTGTGGGGTTAAAAATAAATTATTTAATATCAAGTCAACTTTACGGGCAACTAATTATAAGTACTTAAAATTGTTACTGTTTATCTGAAGAACTTAGAACGGATATTGCAATAACTTTTTTTCAACTACTGCCTAGCAGTAACAATGCAAAAAAATGTTTTTATTTGAGGATAACTGTTGCATCAAAGTAAATTAACCCATCATGTTTTCACATGAAGATGATAGACAAGAATATCCCAGAAAGTGTTAAACAAACAACCCAAATATGCTATATAGATATAACAGACAACACTAACCCCATAAATTATAAGACAAACAACCCCAGTATGTACTCTTATAAAGATAATAGACAACACTAACCCCATTAAGTGTTTGGACAGGAACCCCACTATGTACTCTCTTATAAAGATAATAGACAACACTAACCCCATAAAGTGTTTGGACAGCAACCCCACTATGTACTCTTATAAAGATAATAGACAACACTAACCCCATTAAGTGTTTGGACAACAACCCCACTATGTATTCTTATAAAGATAATAGACAACACTAACCCCATAATGTGTTTGTACAGCAACCCCACTATGTTCTTATATAGATAATAGACAACACTAACCCCATAAAGTGTTTGGACAACAGCCCCACTATGTACACTCATAAAGATAATAGACAACACTAACCCCATAAAGTGTTTGGACAACAACCCCACTATGTACTCTCATAAAGATAATAGACAACACTAACCTCATAAAGTGTTTGGACAGCAACCCCACTATGTACTATCATAAAGATAATAGACAACACTAACCCCATAAAGTGTTTGGACAGCAACCCCACTATGTACTCTCATAAAGATAATAGATAACACTAACCCCATAAAGTGTTTGGACAGCAATCCCACTATGTACTCTTATAAAGATAATAGACAACACTAACCCCATAAAGTGTTTGGACAACAACCCCACTATGTATTTTTATAAAGATAATAGACAACACTAACCCCATAAAGTGTTTGGACAGCAACCCCACTATGTACTCTCATAAAGATAATAGACAACACAAACCCCATAAAGTGTTAGGACAACAACCCCACTAAGTACTCTTATAAAGATAATAGACAACACTAACCCCATAATGTGTAACAACCCCATTATGTTCTTATATAGATAAAAGATAACATTAACCCCACAAAGTGTTAGACAAGAACCACAATATGTTCCGATAGAAAATATTAGACATCTTAATAACCTCAGAGTGTTAAACAAACAACCCCGCTGTATTCTCATGTAACAGATACCAGTAACCATATGAATTTAAGTGTTTGAAAACCCAAGTATGTTCTAATATCAAAAAACTCTACCACGGACTGGTAATAAAATAACAAGAAGCCCCACTATGTTCAGTCGCAACTTCTCGAGCCTTTCTGACTAGCTGACAAATGACCTCGAATGTATTAGTTAGACGCCATGGCAACAACCCCCCCCCCTTTTCATGATCTTCGAAATGAATGCATGAAGACCTTTTATCTGTGGAATATGGAGTTTAATTTTATTCAATGCTATGATATTACATAAAACTTACTATAAAAGGGACTTCTTACTTCCTCTATCCTATATTTGAAAAAAACAAGAAAAGCATAACCTTTAACATCAGGTGATGTTAATACATTCGAGGTTGTTTTTCCGAACTCTGATGGAAAGACCCTGAGTGAGATGATGCAATTGCCAGTACGTCATATCCTTTTTTTTTTACTATTAAAAATACCAAACTATACTCATAATACTTTTTCCTATTTTGATAACATACTTGAAAATTTGTTTTAAATATTTTTCAAACTATTTTTAATTGGATAATCTCTTTATCTTAACTGCTTATTTCTAATGAGAATTTTTTCTTTGAATCTGCTGGTGCATGAATTTGAAGTGTACATTATGCATCAAAAGCATTCATAATTTCTTTGTAAATTAATAATAATAAATAAAAGAGATGATCCTGATTTTTTTAAAAAAAAATTAATCAAACTTTTCAGTTACTCGACAAGATGAACACAGATACGAAACATGTCAATAAATGCAGAACACAGAAAAAACCCTCAAAATTTGAGACAATCTTCATAAATGTAAAAAAAAAACAAGTATATAGTGAGTTGTCAAATAACTCTAAAACTTGCATGGTGTTGCTACTTATTTTAAACAAATATATTAATTTAAATGAAGTTTTAAGAAAAAATGTGTAGTCTAATATCTCATCATTTTGCAATTTAAAATTGATATTTAAACAAAAATAACGATGTACATCCTTTTGGAAAATATACTCAAACTTACAGCTGCACCCCCACTCCCATCCCCTAAAATAAAATGAAAAAAAACAACAACATGCAATTGATTTACAATTTTCAAAAAAATAAAAATCAAACAACATAAATGTACATTTCAGTTTAATAATTATTTCTCACATTTAAAATGAGATCGCTAATTAAAAAAGACGAAAACTATAACTGTTACTTAATGTATAGAAATTTACCATGACGAATGCAATATGTTCATAAAAGATCCTTTTGTCTGAAAGCTGAACACTACTCATAAACATAAGTAATCAGAGATTACATAGCTCAATTCAAAAAATGATTACTTCAAGTGAGAAACGGTCTCACATTTAACTAATAATCGAGAAGTTAATTTAAGGTTTGCAGTAACTTGAGAATAGACATCCAAATACTTGAAACTAGTTGCCCATCAAGAAAATCACTCTCTACCATCGGCTTATACATTCACCTCTGTCGTTGGCTCGCGTATACACAGTTTTAAACACGAGAAATAGTGCGTTTGTTTTAATTCATTACAATTCAATTTCTATGTTTATGTCTGAATTTTGAGATAGACATTTACTAAATCAATCCAGAACTATTGATTTGAATTGAAACAATTCTTCAAATATCACGTTTTATACGTTATGTCAAAAATCTTGACGTGAGCCCATTGCAGAGGTGTCTGAGAGAGGAACGAACGACAACTCTGCATGGGAGATTGCAAGAAAATGTCATTCAATCCACGACCCCTGAAAATGTTATCTTTTTAAGATCAACTATCAAAAATCGATTCATCTTCTTTTTCTGAAAAGTAAGTCAGGTCCTAAATGTCGCCGTCTGGAGCAGACAATGGCAAGAATGAATCGGGATTGTGCTTGTTCTTCTGAAAAGTCTTTCATTCATACTTCATGTATACCTGTCAAAAAAAAAATACAGTAAAATATGTTTGTAAATGATAATGTTCAATTTTTTTTTACAGGTTATGTTTTAATTTATTGTAAAATAATATTGTTGTCTTGATTTTATGGGCACTTATAACATGTACTAACCATCAATCTGGATGTCTTTGATAGTTGCTTTCCTTAAATTTGTGAACTATATTCAGATCACAAATTGTGTGTTCTTGAAAGTCATAGGTTTGTTCTTTCAACTTTATGAATGTCCGACGCCTGCTGGTGTTGCTGCAAAAATAGAGCGGCCTAGATCATCAAAGTTCCACTGATGTTCACTTTCAGTATCTGAACTCTACAAAGGAATACAGAAGCAAATGTTTATTTATATCACAAAAATTCCGAGTTACTAATTAAAATTCATCGAAATTTATTTAAAGCATAGTTGTCATGTACTGTGAACTACTTTCTTATATTGGTAAAAGGTGAAAAAGTACAGTCAAACTTGTTTTAAGCTTTGGGAAGTCCAGAAACTAGCCACTTAAGACAGGTGGCCTCTTATTCCAGTTTGCCCAAGAAGTAGCCAGTCAATCAATAAATAAACAGCAATAACCACTACAGTTGATTTAATTAAACATGTCAATTTCACAAAACCTTTGTATGTGTGTATATATATATTAATCCATGCCTATTTAAAAAATATGAAATTAAAGAATTCCAAATTAAATTTTTAAGGTTTTGTTCATAAGTGTTCAGAGTTCCAGAAACGCACCGGTCCACCGGGGATCCCCGGTGAACTTTGAATGGGACCGGTAAAATCTTAATTTTATTGGTCAAAATGTCCGATGGTTTTTTTTTTTTTTTTTACAGACTGTATAACCTTTACATATAATCTTAACAAAATCATTTAATTCAATTGTCCTGACAATAAACAAATGAAAAACTAAAGGAATGAAAAAAAAAACGTCAGGGCATCGCCAGATCTTGTTTAAATAAAATGTAGACGTTGATTGTCTACTATAAAAAGCTACATATTAAAATAATAATTTCCATAAGTCTGGGAGGAAAAACAGTTTTAAAACCCCTGTCAACAAATATTTTCCATGATAAATATATGCACTCTGTAGTTCTGACAGTAAAAAATAAATGTGACAATCTACTTTCGTTTTGAAGGACAAATTTGCAGGGTTGCAAGAGTGCCTGCTATTTCTGCTTGATTACAGACAATTTGTTACCATTTATTATTTTCTCTATAATTTAATCTATTAGCATGATAATATTATACCAACTTCTGGAATTTTTTTTTAATGTATTTGATAGCATTTAAAATACAAGCGCGTTTTTCCCCTTTTCTAAAAATAGCGGATTGACTTGAATGTAGTAAAACGACAACAAATTCACTTAAAATCATCATTTTCATGATAAATTTGCATATCTTTTTATCATTAGTACATATTTTTAACTGTATGGAGGTTGTATAATAAATTTTAACTAGTCAGAAATATCGGATGTTTTACCAGGCTTTTTAAAACGAGTTTGATATTTTACGTAATATTTTTCCTGGCACATAAAATACAAAAATCCAAAAGAACAAAGCCTGAAAAACAACATATTTTCCAAACAATCAACCAAGAGCTGTCGTGTTGCAGATTTTATTTTTAAAAACATTTTAAAAATCTGTCAGAAAGGACATAATAAATTTATACATGAATTAAGCGTTGGTCATCACACGCCTTCGGCGACGTCAAATCCTGCATACAAAGGCCATATACAAAATATTTCAATAATTTTTTTTTTTAAATCTGCCATCTTTTTATTTACACATATCATTTATTATATTGTTACAATTTCCAATCCTATTATATGTTAAATTTACATACAAAAAATTAATGTCCGGTAAATTTTACAACTGTCCGGTGAATTTTGAATATTTACAAGACAATTGTCCGACATATTTTTGACTAGTTTCGGGAACTCTGAGTGTTCTTTTGTAACATTCAAATCATTCAAGAAGAAATACATGTGCCTTACTACTATCTATTTTTTTTTTAAATAAGAAAAAATATAAAAGCTTTAATTAAAAGACAGTTTAATGGTGAATTAAATAAAGTATAAAAATTTATTTCAGTAAGTGTCAATAAAATTCATTTAAAAACTTCACTATAATATGTTCAGGTAATGATCAGCAGTGTACCCCCCCCCCCCCCTTTCAATTAATCCTCGATCAACTACTTTGCTGAAGTTTTTAAAGTCTGGTAAATTTTTAATATTATTTTTATAAAGCTGTCAGAATTTCTATCTAACATACAGACACACACAAAAAATTATTCAATTGACCAAAGATTTGTATTAACGCAGTTTAAAATCATTCTACTACAACACAGGCGTCAAGTGCACCAGAGCGTAACTAATCCCTATCGATCGTCTCCTGATGGTGAAATTCACGAGATAATCATGCTATACAAATCATTTGTTTTGACAAGAGTTGCAATTAGAGCTTCTACACGGAATCAAAATCTAACAGGTGTGAAAATACTGATAGACCTGTATTAGCTAAGTTACATACTCTCACTGTAAATATTCAAAGTAATGATGAATTAATATTGTAAATTACAAAATGAAGCTTTAAGCATGAATTTCTTTAAGTTTAGCTATAGAAAAACTATTAATTGTGATTTAATTCTTTTAAATTTTCAATGGTCGATCTTGAAAAATAAGTACAAATTGATCTTACAGGACAATTATATTTTTCCATTAATTAACACAAAGAGAGTTATATATACGTATCTAAAGGTAATTTGTTTAATTTCTTTAATAGGTGAATTTTTTATCCGGCACATAATTACACAAGCGACTGTGTAAGCAATGTGACATATTGGGTATTTTAACAACTGATTAAAATGTCCTACACTCATTTATAAACATTGATTGTCATTTATCAAATTGATATACCACTAAATTTTACAACCTTATTATACAACCCCATGTTGATTCCTTCGAAGCCTACTTGCTGCGAAAATTTATTGCAGTGACATTAATTCCATTTTTCCATTCTGATTTTTTCTCTATAGATTAAGGTACGATTACAAGTACATGTAAACAAATGTGTGAAGAGTAGATAAACAATTGGTACGTATCTAGAATGAATTGAGAGAGAGAGAGAGAGAGAGAGAGCAATTATACTACGAAACAGGATAAAATTAAAGCCAAAAATATTCAATTTGAAAAAAATTTAAACACGGATGATTTAAAAATTAATCGGAAGGGGCGGAAGAGGCATGAAAAATCCAGAGATTTTGTCTCCCATCGGAAAAATCACATGTATTTATGTTATGAGATATCTGCATGTAATTACCATAGATATAGAGAAAATTCGAATTAAGAAAAAAACACGATCGTTTTTTGAAGTAAATAAGCCAAGTAGTACTCCAACACGGATTAAATTATGGAGATTTATTGACAGTTGGAGCATGTTATATGGAAAATTTAAATGGTTTGGATTTTTGTTGCAAAAAACGAGTGAAAATACGTACCAGGTGTGCTTTGCATGTATTGCACGTGTATAAATAATATAATCATTTTTTACTGGCCAACGGGACGACCCTCTTGCAGAAAACCACTAGCCCGACCCCCGGGTATCGGTCGATTTTCATTGCAGACCTCTGATTAAAAAAAGAACTATCAGTGCATTCATTATAATTTTTTTTTCACAAAAGCCCGTTTTCAATCGGTATGTGTTTATGTGGACTACAAGTGTCCTTTCCTTGACTTTAAATAAATTCTACAACTGCATAATGTACGTATGAATCATATCAAACAACTTACAAAGCTTTTTTTCAATGTGGTGCAACAAAATAGTAAGACTTACTGCATTTGCTTTTTGTGTTTCCGAATTTCCTCACTGCTAATACAAAATGTCCGCACAGCTACTTCCGTATTCTGCGCATGCGCAGTTAGTTTTAAATATATGCGCATGCTCAGGTATTCGGAACTCCTCGATTCAATTACCGAACTCCTCTAAACAGCAGATTTCTGAATGTCTGAGCGTTTTGGGCTAAGGACATGTCCAAAATTTGGACAAAGTCTTTGTGAGGTTAAATCTAATTTTAGGTTTTTCGACCTCATAGAGTAATTTTGAACGTAATTAGACCTCTTCATTATGGGGTTAACCCCACAGTACCCAAAAAACCCCACACTGCTGGAAAATACGTTAATTTTACCCCACAATGTACCTCTCGTAAGAACAGCTGGACAGACAGACGGACATGAAGCCTATAACATAATATGTCCCGTCTTAAGATGGGCGTATAAAAATCTTTAGTGTCGGGTGCAAAAAAATAAGGTAGGTCGGGTAGCATGAAACAAGACTATTTTTATTTTTGGCCTTAAACTCAAATAAAGGTATGCCAATTATATATATGGGGAAGGTTGAAAGTTAATTGATACATTTTCTAATTGAAAAGTGAATGATTTTTCAAACAGTAAAAGAAGGCTTATAAGTATAGCAAACACAATCATAAAGAATTGATTCTGGCAACAAAGTGTTTTTCATTCCAGGTGGTTTTAAAATATGTAATTATCAATTTGACAAATTTAACAAATTATGTGCTTAGTTAGGAATTAAAATCTATACTGTAAAATCCTAATTAGCCGCCCCTGACCCTATAAGCCCCCCACCACCACCTCAACCCCCACCTCAACCCCCACCCTCACCCAGTACTCTTTCTATTGTCAAAAAACAAGGGCCCCCTGTACCATGTCTACAGTGATTAAAATAAAATAGAATCGTTTCATAAGTCTGCCACAATTTGAAGAAAATAATAATAAAACCTGTCTATTATCCAATTTCTCAGTGGAAAAATGAATCATTCAATATAATTTAGGGTAAAATTATGATATCTTCACTTAACATGCTGAAAGTAAAGTTAAACATTATTTTAGTTGTTCTTTGAATTTTTTTTTTCAAAGATTTTTTCAAGTTAAAATATGACATTGCATAATTTATAATGACAATACCAAAATACCCTTCCCCCTTTTTGCAGTTTTCTAAGCGCCCGGGTTGGTTTAAGAAATAAAGTCCGCGTTTTCGTGAATGTTGCAGAATTAACCTCCAAGGTCAAGAAATGTTGTTTGAAATATAAAAGCCGAGGCGTTAGCCGAGGCTTTAAATTTCAAACAACATTTCGAGACCAAGGAGGTTATTCTGCATCATTCACGACAACAAGGACTTTATTTCTATTCTACCATGGACGATAAATACGGCCGATTGTTTCCTCTATAGAGAAACAAATTAGGTCACCATGTCTCGATTACGCTGTTCTATTTAACACCAGTGAGAAATTTTGTTGATTTACCTATATATGGAATGCAGATATTGGAGCTTTCCTTGCATTAAAAACAGTCTTGTTTAATTACAAATTTGTTCGTAATATGTATTGATCAGTTAAAATGAATATACAAAAACAAAATCATGTTCTTGTTTTACTGCTAAAATTGTTTAATGTGTAGGGAGGTCCAAGGAATAGCCCCGCTTAGCTATAAAAACCGACATTCATCAGCAACTTGATGCAATTTACAGTGTTTATACTGCAAAAGATGACACATCGATGCGCTCTTATCAAGTATTTCATTCTACAGCCAAACATGCATTTGAATTGTTCAGATTTGATACGTGTTTCTGATCTGATAATTTTTTGATGACGTTCATGGTCTATTGGAGAATAATGTCCCGCGGCTTCCTTTGAAGATTTCAATAACCGTGGTAGAATAATAGGTATTATACGGTAATTCACCAATACATATAGTAAAACATTCTATAAACAAAGTGCCAAGGACATGTAATTCTACTCGACATAAATCTTGTTATATAAGCTTTCAATTATATTTACAATATGTTAAAAAACCTTAGGGGTAATGAAAATAAGTTCACTTACCCCCTGCTTTAATGTCAATCATTCATTATAGACCTGTTTGCCATAATCATCACATGTTTAACTATACATGTAATACAAATGTCATTGTATAGTTTAAGTTTAACATAGCAATTTCAGCTGTTAAATTCTGTAAAATTAACTTTTATACAGGTTTAGGATCATGCTTTTTTAATATCTTATGGTAAAAATAAAAGTATTTAAGTAATTGAAAAATAAGTGTTATTGAGTATGACATCAATTGTATTGCAATTATTTACCCTATTATGTGTCACTTTTGATGCAACATATTCTGCCAGACCGCCGAAGGCAATGCCTGCAATTTTTGAAGTTTTGTCCTCTAAAACTACCCTGCATATTTTTCCACTGCCACTTGTGAAAGGGACCACTTTTGCCTTTTCATTTGTGAAGGAAAGTTTGGCCTTTATCTTCCAGCTGGAAAATAATTGAAAATTTTATACAGTTATAAATAGTTAAATCTGTTTCATCAAAAATCATTCATTTAAAAAAAAAATTATGGCTGAATAATGAAGCCATGCATGCCCTCTTGCATACTTGTAACAATAGTCAGTATAAGGGAATACCTCGGTAGTTTCTTTCTATAGTAAAGATAACAAGCGAGGGTTTCCGAATTGGCACGATAAACGTAGAACACGATAAACGGAAAACACGATAGAAAGCGCAAAACACGACAAATGGAAAACTTGATACGATAGGATACGATAAGATACACGCACGATACGATAGGATACACGCACGATACGATAGGAAACATGCACGATAGGACACGATAAATTTGTAAAGAATCACGATGCGGGTACTGTACTATCGTATCGTGGGATAGCCGTATCGTTGCACCCTTAATTGTCGTAATATCATGAATATGGTAGGACTTATGCAGTAAATAGTTTCAGAATTCTTTTTTTTTTTTTAGAAATTCTGCAATTATTTGTTTAAATTGCAGGCAACATACATGTAATTGGAGACATTTTAACTGTGGTGAGAGCCTGTCCCTAGTCATATAACATTAATTGCTATTTATAGTGAGCCCTATGCTTGTAACTGCGAGCTCTTAAAGCAATGCCTGTGCGAAGAGAAAAATTCGGACTACTGCACAATCATTCAATAGAATTTTTTGACGCAGTAATTTGGACCCACATTATCAGACAGGGCCCAGGGGTGGTATTGAAATCAGTCATTTTTGAAAATGACGGATAATGGTCATTTCTTCTAAGTATATAATGTACACAATTTTCTGATTTTTTGTAAATATGACGTCTTTTCATCATATTTCCATTATCAAGTCAATTTTCCCATCCCATTTACTACAGTAATTAGATAGTACACTATCCTGCCATAGACCCTTGTGTAGAGAAACATCTTGACAAGTAATTGAAACCAAAATAATTTAGTGCGCCCTGTAAAACTAATGAGATAATTAAGTGCGCCCACGCCATAGACCTTATAACAATTTGATAAAAAATGATGAAAAACAGTCATTTTTTAATATCAGAGATAACTCTATTTCTAAAATAAATTTCAAAATAGAAATGACTGTTTTTCATCATTTTACTAAAAAAAGATGAATTTCCATCATTTTTAAAAATCAATTGAGTTGCGTCAAGCGAAAAGGGACCTTCGTGACAAAATTTTCGAAAATCGTTTTTTCACCGAATCTGAAAGAGCTAGCTTTACTGAATATTTTGATACCAAATTTTTTATTGAATACCTTCTAAATTCTAATTAAAACTCAAACTGAAAGCAATGCAATTTTAAAAAGATAACGCTATTAAACGTTGAATTACGTCGCATAACGTTATTGAAATTTGGAACGTTATTGTTACTAAATAACCCTATTGTATTCGTTAGAAATAATTTTTTTTACATGTATTTAAGGTTTTCAGTGCCCCCCCCCCCCCCATTTTAGCATCTATAGGATCGTATACATTGTAAAATAGCAATAAGTCTGTTGGGAACCGGAAAAAAACGACATTTTTTTTTCTATATGTATATGTAGACCAATATTGAAATGATAGAGTAAGTTGTACATTTTCAAAGAATATATTCAACGACACCATTTCATCTTTTTTTCTACATCATGAACATAAGTATGCTTTAATCTCTGAAAAATTGGTGTTTGAAAGGATCCTTCACAAGGGGATAGACCGCTGACCATGTGTACAAATCCAAACAAGTTCCTACTCTGAATTTATCTCGCAAGGCATTCGTAACAACTCGGAAATTTTCCAGGGAAGAAATAACTTATGTTCGTGAACAGAAATGACTGAGTATTTACGATTGCTTGCAAGTGACTGAAATGAATACTTATGTTAATGTAGTAAGGTCGTATCCGAGGATAAACCCCGGTCGAAGTACTGTTTTTTCCCTTTCGCCATATCAGCAAACTTACCTCCACAAAACAAACGCTTAACCAGTACCTACATGTATATGTATTTTTTTTATTGTTTTGGAAATGACATAGTTATACTTCCCTGAACAATTGTTTTTTAGGGGTGGGGTGGGGTGCAGCTTTCAGGCATTGATATAATTTTTTTTTCTACTTATCAATTATACCACACTTCTTTCAAAATCGATGTCCTTTTATTTTATTTCAATTGATAATTATATTGAAATGTGGAAAATTACACAATTCAAATAAGATTAAACGTGTTTGCCCCACCCCCCACCTTTCTAACGATATTACTTGCCTATATGTCGGTGATTTAAGATGCTAAAATCAAATAAAATATACAGGTACACATTATATCAATTATTATGACTTTACTATACATCAGTGTAAGAAATAATTTTTTTGTACATTGGGGAAAGGGGGGGGGGGGGGGTAGGCCTCCCTTAAAAAAAACGAGCTCGGCACGTTGTGCTTCCCATTGAACAAAGACACGTTACATCGCTTGCAATTGTTTAAATTTTGTGTAAGATAAATATCGTATGTTGTACAATTTTGTAAAGAGAAAATCTTGTATTTTATTCTCATCTTAAAAATATTATGGAATTTGTATTTGATCAGCACTAAAATATACCGATAAAAATATTTAAGTTATGTAGATATCTAGGCTTGATGCAAAACAATTAGTCGGACAACAATAAAAGTAAGACGTTAAATTCACACTTTCAAAATATGCTAAAATCGTTAATATATAATAAACACATATATAAGTTTTTCTTCTGTGCCACCCATTCAGTACGTTGATTCATGCAATATTTCATTGACCAAGTCAATGGAATCGGATGACATTCTAACTGTACAATCTAAACATTTGATACACAGTTATACATACTATACATGTAAATAATCAGTTTAATTCATATTCAGCCGTATCAAAGAGAACAAGAAAATATATGTTTTAATGGTGTGGGATGCATGGGTCTCATCCCCTGAAAATCCTCATACATGTAATAATATAATCTACGTATACACGCTGCCATCGGAAGAAATTTCTTAAGATTTATTCTCAGCATTATTTTGTAATAGATAGGTCATTATGCATTTAATTGTACAATCGGCAATCCTCGGTTGACTCCGCTTCACTCCATTCAAACAGTTACGATCTATCCGAGGAGCTCCGAGTGATATCAACCCCCCCCCCCCCACACACACACACACACACATACGTGTTTGGACTTCGATCTGGGGACCCTGCCAAAAAATCTTAAAATGGGGACTAAGCGATTTCGTGGCAGAATTGGTATTGTTTAACTTATTTTACCCCGTAAGTATCCTGGAATAAGTAAATAAACTGAGTCTTTGAGCTAGAATGATATATTCATAAATTTAGAAAATGGGGACCCGGAAGTGCCAATATGGGGACCTCTGTGTAAAGGTAGGGGACCCAACTTCTCATAAGCTTACAGAATTGGGGACCTTTACTCAGTCCCTCATACACAAGGAACAGAAATGGGGACATATTTATAAATTTAAGTTTGGAAGATGGTTGGACATGTTTATTTATTTATTTATTCCGGCGCGGATTCAGGGATTTCTCAATGTGGGAAAGGGTTATCCTTAGTCCAAAAATTTCCAATCCAGAAATTCCTTAATAAGCAATAACAAATGAAAATAAAAAAGAAAAAAAAACATGTTATATCATTTCCCAAACGTTTATAAATAATCTATTTCTATGCGCTATTGGTGGGGTTTACGTTTTTTT